GTTGTGATTCCATGATATCCTCCTCTCGGTCCAGGATTTCCAGTAGGGCCGTTAGTGCATTCTCTCCAGAAATATTTGTATACATGCATTCCGCATCGAAACTTACCAACAAGTCCGTTTCTTCGAGTGGCATGTTTTGCTTTTTTGAGAAAATTGATAAGAATTTTTCACCGTGTTTGATAGCTTCTCATTTAATTTCCTGTCTTTCAAACATATAAATTTCGCCAATTTGTGTGTTGCTCCATACTTGTTGATGACTATCAGCCATAGTGTCCTGTCTTCTTTGTGTACATTCGGTAATCTGTATGCTGTTAGTGCTAGTGCATCCTTTCTTATGATTGCATTTATTGTCCATGCGTCAATTTCCCCATTCCTATGCATATCCTACAGCATGCAACTTAAGATTCCATTAATCTTCATAGTTGGGTCCTTGTTTAGTATGCGATATGTGGTAGAATTTGTTCCATCTTCTCGGTATATTGTCCCGAAGGACTAATTGTTCATTCTTTTCCAGGGATTTGCGTATCACGGAAAATCTGTTCCTGTGTGTAGGCTCCTGATGTGTCAAGATCTTGGGAATTAGTTCCATCTACATTTCCAATTTCGTCTCCTCAGGGAACTTGTCGGCGATATTGATGGCCTCGACCAGCACGTCTCGTAGAAGGCTTCTGTGATGTTGAATTGAAAGATTGAGTCCTTTTTTTGCAGGAACGCAGTCGTTTAAGGGAGTAAGAGCAATTGATGATAAGTCTAATACTTTCCTTTTATCGACCTGCTGATCAGTAAGTGTTGTCACCTCGGAAGCCACTTCAACTGGGTGTACTGACTTTAACTTGGGCTGTCTAAAAATCCCAAAATTACGCAACTTATCGTCATGTCGTTTTGTTATCAAGTCAGCAATCTTACGTGATTTCATGTCGGTCATGCTTAGGAGTTTTTGAAAATCTTCCGGAGACAGGATTCTGGCCAAATCATGCCGGAGCTTTTATTTATTATCCATAAACTTAAACAACTTATTCCGTTCTGTATCATAGGTCTCGCTCAATTTTTGCATAGAAGCCAGGTGGAGATCCTCATTAACCCTATCCGAGTGGTATGGTTTCTAAAGGTCACAGAACTTAGGAGTGATACCATGTCGTTTACAATAGTTTAAAAAAGTAATATGGGAAGATTGACTCGCAATTGTCTACTTTGTCCGGCTGTATTCAGTGCATTGTTTAGAAATATGTTGTAGCCTCTGGTATGGATAAGAGGATAAAGAGTAGATAGATAGCCGAGAAAAGAAAGAGGAGCGATAGTGTTACCGTTTTCGGCAGAACGTTTGTCGAACGATTGACTCCACTTGTCTCTTCTTTGTCCGGTTGTGTTAAGTGCAAACAAGATTAGAGCAAGACCAGCGAAATGGAGACGCCTTGATCCGGGATCTAGCGCTAACCGGAAGAGTAGGGATCACGATGAAGAAAGTGGGGGACAGGGTTTTTCGGCAATAAAGCGAGTGAAGTCCATTTCGAATAAACCAGAACAACTTTGCGCGCCTGGCAGTCAGGGAGCTGGACAGACGGATAAGCCAAGCGTCACGGAAATTTGTTGTTATGGCCGAAATGTACCAGAAATCCACTCAAGAAGCCGCATGCGACCAGAAATAGGCGTGCACAGTTTGGTCAGATGACATGTCTTTTAATCGAGGAGAGGACCCGTGAAGGGAAGGCTCTGCTCAATGAAGCGCTTAGAGTGAAATCAGTCAACCGGAACAATAAGGCACGGATCTACAAGACAACGAGGCGATCCAGATTGGAGGTCCGAGTCGGATCAACAGATCGAAAGAGAGAGGGTCTGGGTGAATAACAAGTGTGATGAGGCCACACTAAATTTTCTACAAAAGGACACACATTTTGACGATTCTAATGTAAACAAGTGAGAAGCTGTGATAGGGCGACAGTGGGATAATAGGGTAAAGAGTGTATAGATAGACCATGACAGAAAGAGGAGATTGACTTCACTTGTCTCTTTGATGATGCCGACTACGATGACAGACGACTTCTGACTGGGTTCGTTCTACATAGTTGCCATGACAACAAAACCAAGTTGCGACAACGAGGTCAACCCATTTCTATGTTTAATGAATAAATGAACTTAAATTGAAGCTCTAGTCAAATTAGCTTGTGTGTATTATTCATAAAATGAGTGTTTGGGAGACGAGGCTATGTGAAATTCGCCTCCCATGCCAGTGGGATGCTGCAAGAAATGTCGAAAGTGTACATCGCACTACTCTGATTCATTTTCTGTCCGAGATGATGATGATGAGAAGTAGGCGAGGACGAAACGTCAGTTCATATATTTGATAAATGTTTTTGGTCATACTGACAAACCTTGTGAGTAGTACATAGTAGGCATAATAATTTCCTTGCCATTCTTAGCACAACACTACAACTGGATGCTTTCGTAAAATGTATGCTAAACAGTTGTGGTATCTCCCACTCTGTCTTGGGCTATTCACCCATCCTATATCCTCGTAACGACTCTTCAATATACCAATTTTTTGCTTGTTTATTCAGACCTATTTAAAATCTATTCACACTTCCCGCCGGTTTCTTCATCTCTCCCCAAGACTGCGGTTGAATCCTCAATCTTCTCGCTTCGGGTCCGATCACAGATCCCTCTTGCTCTGTAGGATCCTTCTCTTGTCCGACCGTTTCAGTCATTTCACTCCATCGCTGCCGCTGTATCTGGGCTACTTTCAAGGCGAAGAAAAGTCGGGTTTCGAGCAATCGCTTGTTCCATTTCGGTGACGAGATTCGCAGGTCGGTTCCACCAACAGTCTCTTTCGATTCTGGTGTCATATCATCGTGACAACACAATTCAAGCTGACGAGTCAAGAAAAATCACCAACAAATCCATAAAAAGTGGTATATATTCTCTACATTTGGGCTCTTTCATCAAGTATTAAGTAATTTGGTTATTTGGTTGGTTGACCCTAAATAGCCAAATCACTTTATTCTTGATCAGAGAGGCCAGATGTAGAGGGTATATACCACTTTTTATGGATTTGTTGGTGAGTGACGATGATATGACACCGGAATCGAAGAAGACTGTTGGTGGAACTGACCTTCGAATCTCTTCACTCAACAATACTTTCAAGACGTTGTTCTACGCTCTGCCTCAACACTTTGATAGCACTGAGCGAACGCATAAAGTTGGGATTCTTCATTGGCATGGCAACCCAACTTGTTGCTGTGCGGCATGTGCACCGAGTAAAAATTGTGCTCAAGCCTCTACTTCATGGACTACGTTTATGAGCAAATTTATCTACAAAAATGACCACTTCTTTTGCATGTTTCTACTTGATTTGAATCGGTTGAGTGTAGACGTCTTCTCTGGTCTACTTTTAATTTCTTTTTCTAAAATTAAAAGTATCGCTTTTGTCCAGTCGTCGTCTTTTTGCTGGTATTGCAGTTACATCATCTTCTTCGAGTTTGTTTAGGCAGAATGAAAACTTTTCACTAATCCTGTCCTCTTAAAGTCTCCCGTTCATTAGGTGCAATGGCTTCGTGTATCTTACATTTTCTGGTATTTCCACCATATTCAGCCAGTTTTTGTGTCGATTTCCACTCGATTTCGTGTCCTTTCGTTCGATGTATTCCGCTATTTCAGATCTTCCAGTGTTCATGTTTCTGTAGAATCTTTGGTGTTCCATGATTCGGGGGGGAACCTTTTTTTCTGGGACTTTTTCTGAGATGTTTACAACTTGTACCGATTGAAAAATGTAACCCTTTCTACAAGAGATCCACCGTTTCGTAGTCAAGACTGGCTGGAGACAGGCTATAGTAGTTGATGTCTTCAATGCCGAACCATTAAATTGCCATTAAATGTGTTCAGGACACATTGTTGCAGATCTATTTCGCATCTTTGCGTATCCATGCTCCTGCAGAGTCTTTGATGTTCCTTGATTCGTGGGCCGATTTTTCTTTCTATCTCACCCATACACTTCTGCTTACAGCTGCCGCTTACGATGGTACAAACTCCAGAACAATAAATTTTTTCAGTATTCTCGTGTTGAGTCGGCAGATTGACATTCCGTTGCAGTTGACAGAAGAGCAGGTATATCTACTTTTGGTCGTCCTCCTGGTTTCTGATTGGCTTTTTATAAAATCCCGATTGAAATATCCCATTTTCTGTCCAGTAATCCTCTGGGCTACTAAGGCATATGCGTGTTAGTTTGTCCAACTCATCGTTCCACAACTCAGTGTCTGTTAGTCGTTAGTTTCTGATGATAGAACCTCATATTCATATAAATGGGTTGACCTCATTGTCGCAACTTGGTCTTGTTGTCAAGGCGACTTAGTAGAAGGCGCCTAATCCGCAGTCGTCTGCCATAATAGTTGTCACGATTCCCAGCATCAGACAGTCGACTTGGTACATTGTCAAGGTGATGAAGGACTGGTAGTAGACATTTTCACACAACTTTATGAGTAGAGTTGAGGTTTCCATCCAATTTCACATAGCCTTGCTTTCTCACATAACTGATACAGTCTCCAGCTCGAGTTTGTCTCTTTGACGAGTTCATAGCTGAATGTGGAGAATGGCAGCACGGACTGATGATGCCGACTATGAGAATGTACCAATTCCACTGTCTGATGCTGAG